TACAAACCTTGAATTCCGAGGGTGGAGCCTTTGACTGATTGGGCTCCGCTGATATCGAAATCAGACTTCTTAAGGACCTTGGAGTGATGGGGCGCCCGTGATTTTTAAATTCTTATAGATCTTGAACTCCGAAGATAAGACCTTGGACTGATGGAGCGCCCCTGATTTTTAAATCAGAATTCTTATACATCTTGAACTCTGCGGATAGGGCCTTGGACTGATGGAGTGCCCCTGGTGTTTAGATCAGAACTCTATTGTTTTTCGAACGTGCAGGGCACAGGTGTCTGTTGCCCGTCAGCACCGATTGCTTTCTAATTGTTTAATTCCTTTAAGGATTTTAAGGGATTGTAGTTCAGCATGCCTTTTAGGAAGGGGTTCGTGCACGAGGCGCTTCCAGTTCTCACGATTCTGGGAGTACGGATGCACTGTCCTGAATAAAGGAATGTTGTCCATACGGACGAGTGAGCTGGAACTATGTGCCGCACATATCTGTTGTAGCATAGGGATGTTAAAGAAGGAGTTGTGTATGTCAGAATGTTTTGGCGGAGCGTCGGACTGCATAAAGGATATGCGGTGCTATGCCTCCGTGAGACATGATTCCGCCCAATGTGGGTGGGGGCGGCCGGGTCTATTTGGGGAGAGACCATGGCGGTACGCGTGTGACCCCACTTGGTATTCCAGCGTTTGCATGTGGCGATAGAGGTGACCTTATAATTGAAGCCGCTGTTGAGAGTAAAGTTGAGAAGGTGTAGGAATGTGGTTGGTATCATATGCTAGTCCTGCAGGACAGTCCTGCTACGTGTTCATTGGAACAATCTGCGTTTGTAGGGTCAAGGACCCGAAGGAAAAGACGACTTTACTTTGAAGACTATGTGAAGAGACTCAAAATGTACCGTGTTCATGTTTTGACATTGAGAAGGAGACGTATGCGAGAATAGAGAGTACGATGCACCGATATACTGTAAGATTCCAGGAGGGGGGGAGGGCGGAGTGACAGAGGAGAAGGCGCAGAAGCTTGGACGCTGAGACTGCCTGAGAGAGAGACCCGAAAAGTTTAAGTTTTTGCGACCTGAGGAAAGAGAATCTAGATATACTCCTAAATACTTGTCCTCGTCAGATAAAGGAACAGGAGAGAGATCATAGTTGAAACCAGAGCAATGCCTGAGATCACATGGATTTGCCCATGACGGCGCGTAGTAGATGTGCTGGTTGGAGTGTATACGAAGATGTTCGCATTTCTCTTCATTGATTGTCAGGCCCCTCTTGGATGAAAAAGACGATTGAGTTGTTTGCGGAACAAGAAAGTAAAACAGTGTCGTCCGCATACTCCAGGTCCCAAAGAGGAGAAGGTACATGAACCATTCCAGAGATTTCCCCATAATGAAATCATAACTCTTTTCCACATCAAAAAAGAGATGCGTTAAAACAAGACCGAAGAGATAAGGGGAGAGTGGACAGCCTTGTCGGAGGCCCTTGGTCTGTGTATGACGGGCCTATCTCGGAGAAGAGTTCCTTACCACAAATGATGGATTCATGATAACATGCCCTCGGATTCCGGCGTGTGAGAGGGCGGCACTGATGGCCGTGAACGTAAATGAGTCAAAGGCCTTACTCCAATCCAAAAGCAGTGCGTAGAAAGGAGTATTTTGTCTTACAAAGATTTCAATAAGTCGACGCTGACGTGTATGGGCTGGGTGGTGGAACGACTTTTACGAAATCCATATTGAGTGTCCCGAATACGGGAGTCGGCGTAGCGTTCTACACGGCTTTGTAACATAGAGAAAGAGAGCGAATATCTTTTGGATGATTCTTAACTAGCATCACTACCTCGGAGAACAACCAAGAATTTGGAATGGAGCACGTGGTGTAGCATTGGTTATAGTGATCCCGGAGATATAGCTTCAGTACGAATGGCGCGTGTTTGTAGATTTTCCCGGGAATATCATTCGGGCCGGGAGCTGTACGTGGCTCAATTTTACGCAGAGCATTATCCAACTCCTGCATAGTAAACGGAGAATGTATAGAATCAGAGGTTGGTTGTGCGGAGGAAGTGGGACCGGTGGAGTTTGAGGCGAGAACCAAATTTCGCTGGCCAAATAGCCTGCAAAATGTTTTGCTCATGATCGTTGAGTGGAGGAAACAAGCCTGCCTTGGGTGTTGCACGGCTCAAAGCCGGAGCGGATCTGTCTAGCGTGTGTCCATTGCTGTACGGAGCTTCCATGGACGTCTGAAAGGAGATTGTTTGCTATGAAAGCCTGCCGGGAATAAAGTTGGCATGAATTTTCGGTGCTTGCCCGAAAACTTCTCTCAAGCTCCTTTTCTTCTTTAGGGTTGCATGTCCGGTGCTCTGCCTTGGTGGGCCGTCCTCGGCTATTTCGTGTGGAGCGACCTGCGGAGGCCTTCGGTTTCAGAGCTCGCATCGCACGAGGTGACTCTTCTGCGAAGTGAGGTTCAAACTCTGCGCAAAGTCCTGGAGGAAGCACGGCGGGACACACCGGAATTGGAGAGAGTTAAGTGGTGGTTGGATTTGTTTGGCAAGCTTTACTTTCTTGGGGACTCTTGGTCAGCTCTTGGTGGTAGTCCTTTGCTTGGGTTTTTCTTGGGTCCGAAAGCGCATTGCACCGCGACAACCAGAGCTGCCTCAACCGGCTCTGCCGTCAGCACCTTTGTCTGAGAGCCCGCCTTCTTCAGTCCTTTCGACTCCGGCCTCTAGTACCATAAGGGCGAGACCCCTCCGGCCATTAGGCCTGAGAGGCAAGATATTTCTGACAAGCGAAGCCACTCGGCATGATAGGAGAAGAAATTTCCTAGGCCCTCCGCCACGCTCTCGTGAAACTCTTTGGCAGCTCGGACACCAGTGAGAGGGAGGGGAGTGCATCAAAGCAACGGCCGCTGAGAGCTCCAGCTTTCTCTTACCACTCGCATCCTTCTGATCACCCAAAAGACGAACATCTCCCAACTCCCTGCCTCTCTCGGCTCGCCAGTCTGCCAATCCGCTTGCCAGGATCCGCTCGACGAACAACTCCTCGCCATCGATGAGCACCACACGCTTGGTCGCAAAAGCAAAGCCCGTGGCCTCGTCCTCCAAGAGCATGGCATCCACCGCCGTGCCAAAGTTCCGGTGCCCCGAATCCGATACCACCCACATGACGGCATCTAGCTCCTCTACTTCCCCTTCTCCTAAGACCCTCGCCATAATACGAGCCCTTCTCTTGAACTGCTGAAGAAGCATGAAGAAGTGGAAGGCCTATGGGGTCATGGGCATAGATCTCGTTGAGGATGTCATTCGGGAACGGGGCTCGGCGATCAAGGACTCGATGGCGAAGAACCGTTAAGTCATGCCTCTCCAGGTCATGGTCCGGGGTAAGAGTGATCCCAGTTCCCCTGAGGCTGCTTCACTCCTACGACCAGGTGGACGTCAGCGCTTTGGCTGGAGGTGAGACGCTTCCGCTGGATTATCCAGACAGATCTGGCGGTAGAACGATCGCCGGCTCAGCTAGATTACTCTGGCTTGGACATTGTGGCTGGCACAGCGACTTTGCCGGATGGAAGGGCCGCAACAAGCAAGTTCACGGAGTGGGTCAGCAGTCGGATGAAAGAGCGAGCGGCGATCTGGAAGCAGGAGCGCCTATTCAAGGCGGAGCGGAAGGGTCGCGGCTACTTGGGACGAGGGGCAGGACACTTCGGAAGATGAGGACACCGGTGGCAAGGGCAGAAAGAAGAAGAAAAAGAAGAAAGGGAAGGGCGACCAAGGCGCAGGTGGCACATCCAGCGGCCCATCCGGGGCCGCGCCGAGAACTTGATCGCGACTTGGTCGGCGAGGCCGAGCTGGGGGAACTTCCTGGCCTCGCGGATGTTACCAGCAAATGCATGGTCCGACTTCGGAATTCGGAAGCGGTCGAAGGACCGTAAACATGGGGAGCCATTTCCTTTGCCTCGACTCTCAGGTCATCGGCGGAGGGAGTCGGCTTCTTCTTCACTGGCACGGCGGGTGGATGGCGCATTAATGGCCCTGAACGACCTCGCCGCAGTACCTTTTTCAGCAGCAGACAGCCATTTGCCGTTAACGCAGTCCCAAGAGTGGATCACGAATGACGTTTGGCGGCGAGTGGAAAAATTCGAAGATCAACCCCTGGATCTTGAGGAACAGGCGGTACTCTCCGGTTTGGCCTCCAAGGCCAACCTCTACACGGGGGAGGCTGCGCACCTAGCCGACTTCGACATGCAAAGAATCAGGATTTTGCAAAGCCGGCCCGTTCTTCCTGCTCGAGGCCTTTTACCTGATCAAGCCGGGGTGTTCCTGGACCACTTTGGCGAGCTCATCGAAAAGTCCGCTTCGGAGTTGGAGGCCGATTGGGATCATCAAGAGGTGGTGGAACCTTATTGGGAGCCCCGTCTCCGGCGTGATCGAGGCCTTCGTTACGAGTTCTATGCGGCACTGGCCCGAGCCGGGCTATTGACCTTCAGGCGTCGGCGCAAAGGCCGCGTAGGATTCTTCACCGTGAAAAAGAAGGATGGCTGGCTACGGCTCATCGTGGACGCCAGGGTTGCTAATGCTCATCATCGTCGGCCACCAACGACTAGACTGTCCACCGCATCGGGCTTTGCAGACCTGGACTTTGTGATGGATGCCATGGGTGGTCAAGGTCCGGTGGTAGAGCTCTCGGCTCCGGCTTTGTCGGCGGGTGACGTGGGAGACTGCTTCTATAACTTCTCGTTGGAGAGCTTGGGGAGCTGGTTTTGCACGGACGACCACGAGACAGTGGGCGAGCTTAGGAGGCTAGGCTTTGAAATCGGTCCGCTCTTCGACGACTGTTTGCAAGACTTCGTAGAGCCAGCCGATGACGAGGTCGTTTTCTTCGCCTTTCGTGGTACGTGTATGGGTTGGAGCTGGGCTTTGTTCTTCGCCAACTCCATAGCTGCTCACCAGAGCTCGTTGGGCAGTGGACTCGGCGTGAGGGCCGACTCATCTTAGATAAGCGGCCTGCCCCCGCCCCACCATGTCACCAGGCTCTCCGGCCATCGGCGTCTATGTGGACACTGTGAACGTGGTGGGCGTTGGGGCTACGGAGGTGAACGCAATCATGGACTCTGTCGCCGACCGTTTTGAGCAGCTGGGCATCCCCTTCGTGGTGACCGATCGGGCGGGTGCTTCTTAGAGACACTCGGCCTGGAGTTTGATTTCTCGCAAGGATGTGCGGTTCGGAACACCCGGCTTCGTGCCTGGAGACTGTGGTTGGCTACCCGGGGCATGGCAAAACGGCAGCGACTTTCAGGGGAGCTAGTGCGAGTTTGGCTGGGGCATGTGAATTTTTACTTTGCCATCGCGCGGCCCTGCCTATCAGTGCTGTCTTCGTGCTACCGATTCGCTTCACAGAATCTGGGCCGCAGGGCTGTGGTTTGGCCAAATGTTCGTAAGGAACTTCGCGAAGTGATGGGATTAATCTTCATGGTGGAACACGACCTCCTCTCCGAGCGCTCCCCTCTGGTGCACCTTGGCGACTCCTCTATGTTCGGCTTCTCTCTGATGTCTACCGTGGCGACCGACGCGGAGATCAAGAGGGAGTTGGAGGTGAAGGAGAAGTGGGGGTTCATACAGGGGCGGAGTGTGGATGTAAAGCCGAGCGAGGGTGGCCCACTCCATCAGGACTTTGTGGGGCATCAGGCCGTGACCACGGCGGCTACTCGGACCAAATACGCCCAGAGCTTGGTTCACAAGTTGGAAGAAACAGGCGCCGCACGTTTGCGACAGCAGCAGTGTCAGCTGTTTGGTCCTCCAAAGTCGGTGGAGCCGACCTTGATGGAGGCCATACGGCATCCTCCAGTTTCCAGTGGTTGGCATACGCCCGCCCGTTGGACTCTGATTCAGGCTGCACCTTGGAAGGACCAAACCGAGCACATAAATCCAAAAGAAGCTCGAGTCTGCCTTATGGGGCTTCGGAGGTGGAGTCGATCATCAACCCACTTCGGGAAGATAGTCTTCTCTATGTCCGACAACATGGTTTCGGTTTTGGCTTTTGGGAAGGGTAGATCTTTTTCTGCTAGTCTGAAGCGGCTGGTGCGCCGTGCGTGTGCATATCTTGTCGGATGCCGCATGTGTTGGAGACTCCGCCATATCCGGACGCAATACAACCCAGCAGACAGACCATCAAGAGTCTTTGATCCTCAACCTCAGCCTTCCCTGCCAATTGATTGTCCTCCACCCCTTTGTGGCCATCGTGTCATGTCCTCTTTTGAGCAAGGCCGTGGAGACGATCAGTTTGGCCGAGACGGCCGAGGCACCCAGGAGTTTTACGGAGAGGAGGCTTGGGAACTGTTTTCAGGTTCGGGCAACTTAACCAAGCAGTTGGTACGTCGTGGGATTCGCATGCTTTGCCTGCTTGATGTCTTGCACGGTGCTCACCATGACCTGACACACCCGGCAGTGCAGCGAGTCGTGATTGATCGCATTAAATGTGGACGCCTGTGGTATGTGCATCTGGGTACCCCTTGTATTGTCTGGAGCATAGCGCCGAGGCTCAAAGAGCGCAGCGGCGTTCAGCTGACGACGTTTACGGCCAGAGTGGCGTGGTTGTGATTAGACAGGGGCATAGGCTTTTCTGTCGAGAACCCTCGGAGCTCTAGAATCTGGGAATTTGGACCGATCAAAGCCCTGCTTCGTGACCCCAGAGTTCTCTTCGTGACATTTGATTCCTGTATGTATGGCGAGCCACACAAGAAACCCACGGCAATCATGACCAATGTCGAGGGCCTCCAACGGTTGTCTCGCAAGTGCAGTGGCCTTCATCGTCATCAGCTGCTTCGGGCAACACAGTGGGTGAGGAGAGACAACCGTTGGGCCATCGAGGACAGGACCAAAGCAGCTGGGTCCTACTCAGCGGCTCTGACTCAGCAGTGGGCATCCCTCCTAGAGGGTCTCTGTCCTACAACGGCGAAGTGCTCTTCATTGGACTCCTTGGCCGAAGTGGATGGCCAGCTCAAGCTCGCAGCGGAAAGGCCCCGACTGGTGGGCCCGAGTTGGTCGGCGTCCTCCGGCCTCGTTACCGACGCCGAGGTCTCAAAGCTCCTCAGCTCCGGAGTTGTTTCTGGGCGGCACACAAAAGCGGAAGCCGCTTGTCTCCGTCGCCAAGGTTCAACCGGTGGCCAAAGGCAAGAAGCGAAAGCAAGTACCCAAAGTTGACCTGCAAGGGCGAGCTCTGGCTCCGTCGTTGCGCCTGAAGGCAGCCAAAGTTACTCAGAAAACCTTGGATGCATATCACCTCCAGATCGAGGCTTTCGAGAGCTGGGCGGCTTCCCGTCGATTGAAAGTCACTAAGGCCAATCTGGACCCGAGAGTGGTCAGCTGCATGACCTGGGTTCAGGAGCATGACGACGGTGAGCCATGGAACGCTGCATACCTGATCTACGGATTGCAGCTCCTCAGGTGCAATGTTCCAAAGCCTGACTTCTTGCCGAACTCCAAACAGGCCTTGGCTAGCTGGAAAAAAATCTCAGCCCGGGATCCATGCGACTTCGTGCTGCGCCCAAGAAGTTGTGCTCGAGCCTCGCCAGTCTAGCTGTGGAAAGTCTTTCTTTGCATATCCGAAGCGAATGCCTGGGCTACACATGCTCGGGTGCAGCGCTGCACAGCTCACATTTCGAAGACACGCTGCTTAAAACAAGTCTTCGCAGAGTGGGCAAGCCTCTGGGAGTGCATGTGGCATGAATGTTCAGTCCTTGCCCGAATCCGAAAACTCCTCTCAAGCTCCTTTTCTTCTCCCGGTGCCAGCCAAGCCTTAAGGGCAGTGAGCGAGCACAAGGGCAGCCGGCACAGTTGTGGAAAGTCTTTCTTTGCATATCCGAAGCGAACGCCTGGGCTTGCATGCTCGGGTGCAGCGCTGCACAGCTCACATTTCGAAGACACGCTGCTCAAAACAAGTCTTCGCAGAGTGGGCAAGCCTCTGGGAGTGCATGTGGCTTTGTAAAGTATTTTTGTTCTTTGCGCGCTGCTTTTTTATTTGGTTTCCGTGCCTGTTTCAAAGAGGAGATGTCGGCAAACATGGTATTCTGAAAAGTGTCGATCTTTTTGAGGGTATCAGGGAAGATCCACGGTTTTTTGGCAGCCTGCGGAAGGAGGGGTTGAGAGGGAGATTGGAAGAAAAGAAATCTTGAAGAAGGCTATCTTGCTCAGTGGTAGATTTTGCGGTCCAAAGCGAGAGATTGAAGTCAATGATACTTGGAATGCCCGGTTTCTTATAAGTGTTTGTGATACTTAAGCGAATGGGCCGTTGTCATGCAGTAGGAGCACCCACGGCGCGCACCATGCATGACATTTACTTTGGACGTCATGCGCGCGGAGCTTTTGGCTTTAGCATGACCGCGTAGTCTCGGTAGGGTAGTATGCCTGGACCCTGGTTCCTTCTTCGGGAGGATCCGGGGGCATGGAATGCCCTACCCGCTGCGCGCGGAGACTATGTAGAGCTAAAGCTCCTCGATTCCTCGCACCATCCTCAGGGAATGGGGCTGGTGAGGATAGAGGAGCGAGAGAACCCCGGACGATACGGGGAGTGGTTTGCAGGCACCCTCGTCGCAGTGTCCGGTGGGCACCTGCAATGGTGGCTGGACACTGGTGAGGGCTCTTCGGAGCAAAGATGGTTCTCCGTCCACGTCTGTGCCAAGTCCCCTGCCACCTGCAGGGGGTCAAAAGGGCACCCCGACATGGAGTTCCACTTTCAATCCCTGAGGAGCATCCCCTTGTCGGAGCTCGGGACCCGTCAACAGCCTACGTGGCTCAACCAGCCCGCTGCGGCGGCAGATCTAAAGTGGGAGCTAGATCGCCTGGGAGGCCAGCCACCAGCACCAGCTTGGAAGATCCTATCACCGAGGAACGGGGCGCGCCCCAGGATTCAACTCCGGCTGCGGCCGAGACTCAGAGCCTGGGCCAGGAAGAAGAGTGGGATGATGAACTGTTGGAGGCCCTCGGGGTCAGCGAGGATGAAGACACCCTGAGGGATTCCTTGGAGCATGCGGCCAAGTATGCGGTGACGGGGTGGTGGAATCTGACCCATTTGCAGGCGGCGGTCCGACGTCTTCTTGGGACGAAGCCCACCTGGGAGCAGGTTCTTGAATGGTTCATGAGGGAGGGCAGGCGGTTCCCGACTCCTCTAGGCTCTTTCTTCCGCAGGATGGAGGAGACCGAGGCAGCCCCCCCGGGCGCGGAGCCCACTAAGGAACCAGACCTGCTTCCGATCCATGTGGATGCCACCTGCAACATCGAGGTGGTGGAGAACTGCTCCCAAGTGGTGCTGGAATACCCTGCACGCCCTCAACTTCCACTACTGCTGAGGGTGGATCAGCCCTGTGTGCTGGCCACCGCCGGAAGAGGTCACCCGCGGCAGGCGGAGGCAGTGAAAGGCCAAGGCCTGCGCCGGTTGCTTGGGCAGAGGCCTGCCCCTTGGAGGACCGGCTGTGGCCGAGAAGATCCTCTCAAGCCGCTCTCGCGACTATGAGGGCAACATGGTAGAGCGAGTGGGCGAGATCCAAGCGGATCTGGTTATCGGTGCCTGGCCCAAGGTTGGAGAGGCGGCCGTGGCCAGCGTCGTCGACTTCCTGAGTGGTGACGCCCTGAAGGCGGTGATCTCGCCCCGGCCGCACTTCAAAAGAGGAAGTGACCAGCCGAGAACCTCCAAGAGAGGGAAGGTTCATGCCTCCCAGGAGGAATGGAACAAGGTCGTGGCTGCGGCATTCCAGCGCAACATGATGGGGCCAGTGGACGAGAGCGCAGTGCCGCGAGACTCGCAAGGGCACCTGATCACGAATGGTGCTGGCGCGGTCGAGAAGAGGAAGCTGGTCGGCGGCAAAGAAGTTGCCATGCAGAGGTTCATCAGCAACTTCGTACCGATCAACGAATTCCTCGAGGCCCTGCCCGGGGATCAGGACTTCCTCCCTTACGTGGCCCAGTTGGGCCTGCTGCTCTTGGATGACAGCCAGACCCTGATGATAGAGTCGGAGGACCTCACCTCGGCCTTCAACTTATTCCGTATGCCTGACACATGGCTCCCTTTTTTCTCTTACGCAAAGAAGGTGCCCGGGCATATCATGGGGTCCTCTGAGGAGTGGGTCAGGCCGGGGCTGCGCGTCATCCCTATGGGGTGGAGCTCCGCTGTCACCATCATGCAGGCGGTGCTCAGGAACCTTGTCTTTGAGTGCCGGAGAGCCTGGAGATATCGAAAGTCAAGGATATACCCGCTGAGGGCGGAGCCGTGCTGTACCTTGACTCCTTCGACCAGGTGCGGATGGTAGACACCACACTGCGAGCAGTAGAAGAAGGTGTCGCCAGCCCGGAGCATGAAAGGTTTAGGGCAGCCTGTCGTGAGAGAGGCCTCCCTCTCAATGCTTCCAAGTCCCTGGCTGGGGCTCTCCGAGGAGGCATTCAAGGAGGGGTGCTCGATGGAGACAAGGGGGCAATTTCGGTGGGAAGCGACAAAGCTGAGAAGCTGGTCCTGGCCACTTTAGGCCTCCTGGCATCCGCCTCTTGGTCAGAAGCGGCCTTGAGAAGGTGGGTCGGGATCGCAACCTTTGTGGCCGCTTTTCGGCGACCACTTTTTGCGGTTTTCCAAGAGATCTTCCCACTGATCGAAAGGGCCAAAGAAGGGGCGGTGGATCCCGATCGACCTTTGTGCTCCTGCTCCCCTTGGCCTCCACATCTCTGCGGGCTAGAGTGTCTGGTGAGATCTCCTGCTCCCATGCGTCACTGTGGGGCGGGGGAGCCGCTGTGGCCCAGACCGCCCGGAGGCCCACAGTTGCGCCTGTGGAAGAGGACGAGGCTGGAGTCTGTGCCCGCTGCGGCGGAGAAGAGTCTTGGGGGTCGCGCGGACTCTTTTACCCTTGTCCCGCCTCCTGCGAGAGGTCGTTCTGCTCCATTTGGTGCATCGAGGAGCATAGAGAACACAGGTGCTCCCGCAGGAACTACCTGTGCCCCACCTTCGCGGAGTTCTTCCCTGAGCCGGGCCAGCCCCTTACGGAGGCCATGGCCTTGAACAAGGTGGCCGTGCTCACCGCCTTTGGCCCCAATATCAACGACAAGGATGATTTTTGGGGTCAAGCGGGGAAGGAGAAGCTAGAAAGAATGGAGGCGGACCCACTGGTTGCGGCCAAGTTTTGGAGTCCGCCCTTCAACACCTTTGGGCTCGGCAGAGGAGAACAAGTGCGGCTACAGAATGGCCGATGGGTCGATGCCCCTCCAGCCCTCCGGGCAGGAGGACATCTCACTGGCTTGGCCGGGCTCTCTAACACAGCCGCCTTTGAGGTGCGGAGGGCGAACACCCTCGCCCTGAGGGCTCTGAAGTCTTTGTCCCGGGCCGTGGAAGAAAACTTCCTCTGTTACGTGTGCCAGGCTTGGGATTCCTACCTCTGGTACTTCCCAGAAGCAGAGGAGCTGAGAGAGACGAAGGGATCTTCTCCACGTCGTTTCCTCTGTGCTGCTTTGGTGGGCCCAAACGGTGGGTGGAACTGCTGCACAACTCCCCCGCTGTCCACCAAGCTTTGCACCGGCCCGCGTGCCGAGATCACGAGGAAGAGCCCAAGGCCTGGTATGACAGCACCGGTCGAATCCAGTTCGCTTGCTGTGAGGAACTTCGCCTCCCTGGAAATCTGTGTGATACCCTGGCGTTGGCGATCAAGAAGGATCTGGCTGAGATCTGCCCCCTCATTCCGGGAAAGCTCACAGATCGCACCATGGACTGGCAGCTGATGGCACAGTTGCGAGGTGCTTCCTCTAGCCTCAGGTCACCCGCCGCGGCGGAGGCTGCTGCTGAGGTTATAGCGCCTATCGCTCGGGAGATCCTCGAAGACCCCATCGAGCATCTGCGAAGGATGCTCAGCCGAGGGCACTACAGAGGTACAGAGGTGCGGCTCATGGCGCCTAATGAGCCTGACAACCTCAAGATGGTGCCCTACCCGGCACACCTCTGGCGATGGCGCAACACGTTGTCCTTCGCCTGGCATAACGAGGACAACATTACTACGCTAGAGATGTTAGCAGCTCTGGCTGAGATCCGGCGCCGCGCGCGGCAGTTGAATACACAAGGGACAAGGTTCTTTCACATCCTTGACTCCCAAGTGGTGTATCACGTTATGGCAAAAGGCAGGGCACACAGCAAGCGGTTGAACAGGTTGGCTCGAAGGATGATGGCGGTTCAACTTGCAGCGCAGCTTCAGGCGCTAGCGCTTTGGACCATTTCGGCATGGAACTTTGCCGATACTGCGTCCAGGAGGTTTGCTCCTCACCATGGCTCCTAAGCTCCACCTTAGGTTCCAAGGTTTGAACCCCAAATCCCGAGCCAACTACCGCCGTGCCTTGCTCCGCTTTTTGCCTTTCTTGCAAGGGAGGAACTGCAGCTACCCAACACGGTGAAAGACCTTGACTTTGCCCTGGGGGAATTCATGAATGAATCCTTCCAAGAAGGTGACTCGCCTGGGTATGCAGGGGCTGCTGTTTCAGCCCTTAAAAGGTTCCTCCCCCGACTGCGGTCGAGGCTTTATACTGCCACGCAACTTTATTCCAATTGGATGAAAGTCTATAAACCTTGCAGAGCCACGCCTGTTCCGTGGTCCATGGTACAAGCCATGGCAGGAGCAGCCCTCTCAGCTGGTCAAAAACGACTAGCAGTGGCGCTTCTCATCCAATTTCTCTTCTTTCTTCGCACTGCTGAAATATGCGGGCTGAGGCCCAGTGACGTCTCCTGCCTGCGCTCAGGTCACGTGGTGGTCGCTTTACCACACACGAAAACCTCCCGCGGGAGAGCGCAGAGCGTTTCACTCTACGACCCTTTTTTATGCCAAGTACTGCCCGCAGTTATGGCAGCGTGGTCACCTGAGCTTTCGATAATTAACTCTTCGCTGCAAACTTTTCGGGCAAGATTCCAAACTCTGGTAGTCTTCCTGGGGTTGGAAGAAGGCACCTTCCTTCCTTACGGCCTGCGCCGAGGAGGTGCCACATTTCATTGGCAAACCTCGCAAAATTTTGAAGCTACCATGATTATGGGAAGATGGCAGGATCAAAAAACCTGCCGCTTTTATCTGGATGAAGCCCGCGCACTGCTGGTGCAGCAACAGCTGACTGTTTCTTCCCTCCCTCGCCTCCCTCACTTCGTGCAGCAGTGCCGCCAGCTTCTTCTGAAAGCGTAGCGCTGTGCGAGGAGGGCAATCGCTCTTGCTCACTGAAAGTGGGGAGCGCTTTTCAGTTGGGAGGCGCACCGCGGTGTAGTTTCACCTTGTACCTTGGCCTACCACCCGCGGGTGAGTGAAGGCCTAAAGCTGCCAGGAGTTCGCTGGCCCTTGTTGGCCCCCTGGCTTTTCACCCGTGCTGTGGTTCGTCCACGGTGCGCTGATCATGACCGCTGCCTCGGTCTTTCAAAAAAGAGTGCTCGCGTGGCACACGAGTCCAATGGGCCGTTGTCATGCAGTAGGAGCACCCACGGCGCGCACCATGCATGACATTTACTTTGGACGTCATGCGCGCGGAGCTTTTGGCTTTCCCGCCCGTGCCCTCCCCGCACCGCAGTGCAGTTGGGAGGCGCACCGCGGTGTAGTTTCACCTTGTACCTTGGCCTACCACCCGCGGGTGAGTGAAGGCCTAAAGCTGCCAGGAGTTCGCTGGCCCTTGTTGGCCCCCTGGCTTTTCACCCGTGCTGTGGTTCGTCCACGGTGCGCTGATCATGACCGCTGCCTCGGTCTTTCAAAAAAGAGTGCTCGCGTGGCACACGAGTCCAAAATATAATGGCTTAGCAACATCATATAAGTCTGTGTTAAGTATGTATTAACTGGGTATTAAGTCTGTGCTATGCATATATATATATATATATATATATATCTGTTATATGTTTCAACATATCTTGGTAATATGATTAATTTTTTGTGTAATCAACATAATCATGTTAACTTCCACAAAAAAGTTATAAAAGTTAGGTAAAAAGTTATGCTATGTATACGACAATTTTTTGTTGTTTCCTAAACATAAAAAATACAGGGCATGGCAAGCAAGCATCTGGGTCCCTTATGTTTTTTTCAGTGCAGGGGAGATTAATTATGGAAAAGTTAAGGTGTCTATATTTAAATTTCTTACTGGTGCATATTTGTTTCTGTGGCCAGGAGACGATGCGAGAGCCAATTTTGTGTGTGTGTGTGTGTGTGTGTGTTTTTTTCTTGCTACATACATGCTTGACATAAATCGGAAATCTTTTTTGCCCTGCATCTACATGACATGTAACGAAAACCAAGAACATATCCGGATTCGCATGCATGGCTCTAGCTTCGCCAGTGTGGCCGTCCATCTCGCATTTCTTGATCAGTCGGCCATTTCACCATTGTGAGCCATGGTCACCATCTCGCACATGGTGACACTCCAATACAAGGAGGAGAAGGCCATCATCGTGCCCACCGAGCTGATCATTCAGCATGAGGAGCATCAGTACATCCAGCTGAGGCCCACGAACCATGCGATCTGCCAGCTCGTTTGTGGTAGCAACATTCCGAAGAATGCATCCATATCAGCATGCACAAAGTTGCAGGAAATCATTCAGAAGCGAAACGAAGCCATGCAGTCGGATGAAGCATCGGAGCAAAAGGACGATCTCTTTCCATCCAGCGATGAGCCCCCATCGAAGAAGAAGAAAAGCATGAAGATTCTGCCACCCACCGTGAACATCAGGGTGGGCGAAGTGGCGGTCACATGCCCCGTCCATGGTCGCCGACCATCCGCACAGGACCTTTGCATTCGCTTGGATCCTACCCAGATCGGCGCCATCGTGGACTACATTCGGGAGGATGCCATCGAAGCCATGCAGCAGTCCAAGAGGAAGTACGTGAAGAAGGTCAGGAAGTGATCGCATAGTTTCCATGACATGGACTTCATGCCGGCCTCTGAGGAAAAAAATGCAAACCGTGCCAATGCATGCCCATAATTTCATGTGCAACATGACATCCAAAGGCCAGTTTCGCATGCACCTGGATCCCCGCGATGTTGTTTCTCTTGCATATGCAGCATTGAATTTTGCCTTGTGGCCATATACAACGGGAAGCCCATCCATTGCCAACATGGCGGTGCCGCAAAGCATTGTCTTCGAAGTACAGACGATCATGGACGGGGAGATGCCATTAAACAGCAAGACCGAAGCCATTTTGGCATGCTTGGAGAATGCGGGGCTTGCATCGAAGCAGCGACTGCTGCCCCGGCATCTGCTCATCCATCCGGACAATCGCTCCCAGTCCATGCTCAGTTACCATGACGTCTGGTCGAAGGGGTTGGCCATGAGCATGGTTGGTTTCAACATCAAGCTGGTGGAAGGCACCACCATTGCATTCGCCATGAGCACAGAGCCAGAGAAGAGAGCCATGCAGCTGGCCAAGAACAAGGCATTGATCGACAATGCCATGGGGCATTTGGCGCCCATGAATGGTTCAGAAGGTAGGGCCTATATCCACCAAACCTCATGAAAGGGTAATATATAATATATAATCCTTTAACCCTACATACGGATGTAGAGTTAATCATATCTGCAACTTTATCTTGTCTTTTCTTGCAGGCTACTTGACCATCGGGGGCAGCCATACAGTTGCATATCTTCGCTGCATCGAAAACGGTGTGACCGGGCCATCGGCGGAGTCAAGCACCCATCCGAAATCGGATGCTATCTGGCGAGCCATCTCCGATGGCTGGACATGGGTGACCATTTCCAGCGCTGTGGAGGATGCCATACCCATTTTGCCATCATTTCTCCAATCATCATTGAACTCTGCGAACAGCATCCAGAAGAACATCTCCGAGCTGGAGGTTGCCATGCTCTTGGCCACATGCTTTGGCAAGGGCATGACATTGGCACAGGCTGTGAAGCATGCGGAGCATACTTCACAGATGTCCCGGACAAGCATTAATGCCATCGGCACATATGTCATGAAGTTCAGTGGGCATGCGGGGTCATTCCCCATTTTGCATTTCTTGTCGAACTTCAGCAAAGTGCATTCCTCCAGCATGCTCCTGGGCGAGGACATGATGACACAGATTGCAACCATGGACTTCAAGTCATCCACGAACATGTATCCAATGACCAGAGCCGCCATCTGGTTGACCTTGTTGGCATGCCCGAAGAATCATGAGAGGGATGGTTTTGCTCGGAACCTCATTCGCTCAGACATTGAGCGATTGAGGCAGGCAGCATGCCTGCCCATGACAACCAAAGCGGAGCAAATGCTCCAGGATGCATGGGGCATCCATCAAAGCATCCATGCAGGCCAAGGCAAGCACATTGACGGCCATCACGTGGACAATTGCTTTGGCCGCCTGTGCATAAGGACCATCTTGCATTTATGCAACAAGGCGAAGACTGGCAGCAGGGAGTGCAAGGAGTTTGCATCTTAGGAGGCCATTGTCGAGGCATTCTCGACAGAGCTCTACAAGGATTCCCCTGCATCGGGTGCAGAGGCATCGAAGAGCGATGAGAAGCCCATAGTGGACGTTCTGTCGGCGAAGCCGCATGTTGTGGCATTGCTGCAGAATGCCCACATGACCATGGGCGGCAGGCCACTCGATGGGTTTTGATTGCTTTCATTTGTTATACATTTTTGTTGCTGTTCATGGTTGTGCTTTGAGGTACACGAACAGCAAAGAACATGGCTCCATGGTTTTCATCCTCCAGAGTGTCAGTGACGATGGGGCATGCATGCGGCACACCCCATTCTTCGGCGACAGCATCGACATCAGTGTCCCACTGGAGTCATTGAAGAAGTGGAGGAGCACTAAAACACCCATGCCGAAGCTTTGTGATGTTACCATGGTGACGATGCGCATGCCCAATGTTCATCCCGCCTTTGTTGAGGAACATCAGCGGGCCATGGTGACAGTGGCATTGCATGCCGTGCACAAGAAGCATTCGTCGACCAGTTCCCTTGCATTCGGGCAGTTCCCCCCCAGCTTGATGACCATGGTCACATGCAAGAAGAAAGCAGGCAAGCTGACACCCATGGGCAACATTTCCAAGCATAAAGCAGAAGGAGCTCCAAAGGGCACAGCCTTGGAGGCATTTGGGTCTCATTGGGTTGTTTCCCCACCGAAGCAGAACACATTGTTCGAGGATGAGAGGCATCCGTTGGTGCCATACTTTTGGGTGAGAGCATGTGCATCGGATGCCCAGCCGAACATGTCATTTTCCACCATCGTGCAGGATGGGGTCACGGTGCCCATGCTCTACAACGAGGAGCCCATCGAGAAGCATGAAGTGTTGCTCCACCCACCCATGGAGGAGACCATGCAGGAGCCGCCCAAGAAGAAGGCCAAGGCAAAGGCCAAGGCCAATTGATTCATGCCATGAAGCATTTGCATCCATCGATTTCATGCAGAGAATGCAAAAATTATAAAAGAAACTTTTTTTTGGTGGCGGTTTCTGTTTCAAGCATTTTTTTGGGCAGGGTTGTTCCAGGGTATATATTGGGTTGGGGTTTAGGGTCTTCGGGTCTAGATTTTCGGGTAAGGGCTTATGGGGTTTATGGGGTGTGCGGATTATCTATATATGGGTAAGAGGGGTGCTTTATAGTTTACTTCAAGGGTCAGTGTTTTGGGGTTCGTGGGCTTCGGGTGAAGGCTTAAGGATTTTTTTAGGCTGTAGTGCATTTTCGGGATAGGCTTGTAAATCTGTTTCTAAATATGGTGTGTATAGATAGAAATAGACCATGTGCAATCCAGGGGGGGGCGGGTCGGCGAATAAAAGGGCTCGAAGTCAAGACAGAATCGAAGAACATTCAGTATATAGAACATATATTGTATGTATGAGTTAATAAATGTATGTTTCTAAATTGCCACATTGTGGCTGTTGCATGCTCCTAGCCATAGATATGGCAGTCATGCAGGATGCCATGTAGTGGCCATGGTATCTTCTTGAAAAGCCAAATACATGGCTATGGCCATATTATGGCAGTTTCTCTGCACATTGCCAATTTATGGCTGTTCTATACATGCACATGGCCATGATGGCTGTTCCATGCACATGGCCATTAAATGGCTGTTCGCCATTGTGGCTGTTCCATGCTATCCCATGCACATGGCCGTGTTGTGGCCGTTCCTGGTTCCATGCATGCAGTTCTGACTGACAGTTACATGTTCTACATGTTGCAGGGGAATGCATTCGGGCATAAGAAAAGCTGCGACAGACGGCAAGCCCTGGTGCCGCATGGGCAGGCATCATCCGACACGTCGGTGCCGACACCGCCAACCATGCCGCCACCATCATCGAGCAGCCATCCGCCGCCATCGGCAACCATGCCGCCACCATCTTCGAGCAGCCATCCACCGCCATCTCAGAGCACATTGCCTCCGGAACACATGCCGGTGGCATGGTTGCCATGGTGGCATGAGGGAAACGAACGGCTCCGTAGCTTCATGGTCCATGCATTGCAGACACATGAGGACATCGGATCCATGTGGGGGCGATGGCATGCATCGGATGAGATTGGAGGCATATGGCGCCATTGGTTGGACAAGCAGTTCATAGCGGTCCATCCCGACATGGGCAACATTCCGGGCAACGATGACATCAGAGCTTTCATAGCCATGCTCAATAGAAGCATGTGATGTCTATAGAACAGCATTTGTGCCATGTGCTTTCGGTGAAAAAGAAGGTCGCTTGGTGGGAAGAAGCAGCATGTGAGTTACAGTTTCTGTGCATGAGTACCCAAATATGCATATGTATTGCATGGAAAGGGATATTTATCATGTGGCTTCTATATCACCAACCTCACATACCCATTTGCATCTTCAGAAACCAACTATGGATCCTTGCACATGGCCTTTTGGTGGCTGTTGCATGCACATATAGCAGAGCCCACTTATCATGAGGGTTGTGTTGTACATACATGTTGCTGTATCTAGAGTGCATGCAGCTGCCATTACAAGTACAGGCATCCCATCCCATAGCACATCCAGCTGACTGTGGCAATATGATCCCAATGTGGCTCGCCAACATCGAGCGAAGCCCTCATTTGCAGCCTCCACGGGCGACCATGACACCAGGTCTGCAACCCCCACCTTGTTTGCCATCCCCATCGGGCGAAGCATCATCGGCAGCTGGACCATCGGGCGAAGCCTCATCGGCATTACCATCGGGCGAAGCATCATCGGCATCAGCATTGGGCCGGGCAGCATCGGCACCCCTGCGGGGGGTCGTGGTGGTGCCAACATTACCTTTGTCATGGCGAGCCCATTACAATTCGGGCAGTCATCGAACCAGGACATTCATCATCCATTGCCATGAGACCATGGGCGAAATGAGCCGTCCAAAATTCAGGACATGGCTCCGCATGCAGCTGATGGCTGTGCATCCACACGTCGCAGACCATGGCAATTCGCCCAGCATCATCAGTGCCAGACAGATGAGGGCATTCATCGGCATGGTCATTCGCGAGATGGGAGTGTACTAGTCATGGCAGTGGCGGGTGTGAGAAACAGGCAGCATCGGTGCTTTATAGGGCTTTTTTCAAGGGGTTGGGGGGGTGTGGGGGTTTGGGGGGTTGGTATATATAGGGTGGGTGGTTTCTCTGCTATATGTATATCAAGGGATTGCAATATTGGGTTAAAGTTGTTATGTGTAGATATGTATATATATAGACATATATATATATTATTATTATGTATATACATATATAGATACATACATAGCTACACACACATATTAGTCAGTACATGTGTCCTCATGCAAGTGGAGTTATAGATTCCTTTTAGGCACAGCATTTTGTGCATGCATATATATACACACACATGTAGTACTCGGAAGCCTTGGGGCCATCCCATATAAAGAAGCCATTTGGCCGAAAGCCCCCAACACATCCACAACAATTCCGAAAGCCTTCTGGCCATCCCATATATATAGAAGCCATTTGGCCAGAAGCCCCGAACACATCGACAAGAAAACCTTAAAGCCTTCTGGCCATCCCATATACATAGCCATTTGGCCGAGAGCCCCCAACACATCCACAAGACAACCGAAAGCCTTGTGGCCATCCCATATAAAGAGAAGCCAAGCCCCTACAGAAAACATGTTTTGTTGGTGTGCCTGGTGGCCATCTGTCGCAGTATAGGAGCAGGACAGTCATGTGCACCTATGTTCTGCATGGGCAGCCCTTTTGGCCATCAAGCCTTTTGCTGCAGCATCCCGCCTTCCATCCTCATCTTGTCTGCATCATGGACAACATGTCGGCCATCATTGGGGCCGGAGAAGACTGAAAACATAAAAGCAAACATTCAAATAACGAAACACTTGCCCTGCAGGAGACACAGGCCATCGCGGCCATGGAGGCGGATTGGAACATGACGGACATGACAGAGGCTTTTTCATATAGTTTTAAAAACCATATAAACCCTAAAGCTTTAAACCCTATAAACCCGATATAGAAACCCTAAAGCAGAAACCCTAAACATATATAGAAATACAGGTATATATACATATATATATATATATGTATGTATGTATGTATATATTTAGTGTGTATATATATAGTGTATATATACATATATATATATATATATATATATATATATTTATTTATTTACATGAATATACATGCATATACATATACCTATATCTATGTATATATATATATATATATATATATGTATATCAACATATTAATGTATATATGGTTATATATATATATATATATATATAAACCCCTGACAGGGGACCATGGGGCCGAACCCCACGACGGAGGAGCATGCCCCGCCATCCGAGAACCATGCCCCGGCATCCGAGAACCATGGCCAGACCATTGGGACGGCGGAGAATGGGCAGGCCGTGACAACCGAGCCCCATCAGGCTCATGGAGAAGATCATGCCAATCATGGCCATGGGAGTGTTTTGGCGCTTTTTATGAAACCATCGAAAACATTAAAAAAACCCTTTAAACCCAAAGTGTATAAATAAATAAATCAATATATATATATATATATATATATATATATGTATGTATGTATGTATATACATATACATATATTCATATACATATATATATATATATATGTATATGTATATGTATATGTATATGTATATGTATATGTATATGTATATGTATATGTATATGTATATGTATATGTATATGTATATGTATGTATGTATATACATATATACCTACATACATAAACTATATATATATATATAATTATATATATATATATAACTATATATATAATTATATATATATATATAGACATAAGCATATATACATATGTCCATACATATATATATATATATATATATACATATACATACATGTGCATCCCAGGTTCCTGGGGCCCATCCAGTGGGCTATTGAATGATTCAAATGGCGCCATCCCTTGGAGCATCCAGGCTATGATGCCAAGCCCATTGCATCAATGCAGCATCAGCTGCATGGCATGCGATAACAGCTGGCTTTACCTGTATCGCCTGCAGGAAATCAAAACCTGCTGCAATTGTGGCGCTCCATGGGCACAGAGCTTGGTGCATGCCGGCTTAACCATGCGAAACCCATCCGGGGTGGTGCAGCAGCATCCATGAGTGGTCAAAGACCACATGATTGTGCCATAGGCATCATCATCCTCCATGCCACCGCCGCCTGGCATTCATGTCGTGGTGAGCAGCAGCAGCACCAGCAGCACCATCGACGGCATCAGCAAGAGAAACAGCATGCGAAGCCTGGTGGCCATTTTGTTGGCATTGGAGGATGCAATTTCAATAAGAGCACATCTTCGGCAGTGCAAGGCGAGAAAAAGTGAGTGTGAGTCTGCATCTACATAATAGGACATCACAAATCCCAAGACCCAACCCATGAACCCGAAATTCTGGATTGCCACCCTAGCCTAAAGCCTAAACCCTCCACATGTGCATGTAGCCTGCAGGGAATGCATGCACTTGCTCCTGTTCTACTCGTGGAGGTACACAAATACACTTATGTATGTGTGTGTATAGATAGTAGATGTGCATAGATACATGCACACACACACACACATAGACAAACATAAACCATAAAGACAGACATGCACAGAGAGACACACACACACACACACATGCAGACACACACCCAACAAAGCCCGAGCCCCTTGAACACCTGAAGCCTCAACACCCCAAACCACCAACACCGGATGCCCATGAAGCCTTGAAGCCCCAAGCACATGATGAAGCAGGAGCTCCGGTGCTATAGTAAATTCTTGACATATAGCACATAGAGAGGCACCCATGCACACACACAGCATGGACACGATAGCATGCGAAGCAGCAGCATCAGCACAGCCCATTGGCCATGCCCGCAGTGCAGTGGCCATCCAACAGGCAGTGCCACAGAAGGCCACGAACACCCCAAACCCCGACCCTTGAAACCCAAACCCCACATGTCTGTATATGGCCAACAGTCATGAAGCACACAGCCAGGCGGCAATGCATGATGTGCATGCATCAGGATATGTTCCGAGCAGCTGTGATTGCTTCATAAGAGAACAATCATCAGGGCAACATAGGGCAAACCACATAACCTTGAGTTTAACTACATTTATAATTAAATTCAAAATCTGAATCTAATTCCTGAAATTAGGTAATTGAATTCAGAATCTGAACTTATTTTCAGAATTCAGATAGTTAGAGTCAGATTCTGAATTTAATTCTCAATATATGTAAATTAGATTCAGATTCTGAATTTAACTAGTAAAATGACGCTGCATAAACACTTTGTTGTCATACTTCATTCGACATCAATTTGATTGCCAGCCATGGCCATGAATGATGCTGCTAGCTCCATTACTGGCCATGCAAGCACTGCCCCGAGCAGCCCATCCAGTCATCCGACATGTGTGTCACCATCACCTGCAGCGACTGTGTGCTCATCCGACGACGAGCCATTGGATGCTGCAGAGGAGATGCTGCGGATGGCACGAGAGGATGCCATGGGCCGCCACCACATGGACATGGACCCCACGGTGCCACTGCAGTGCATGCCACCCGTGGCCGGTCCCATGCATGGTGCACCCGGCCCATGCATACCAACATGCCTGTGTCAGAGGCATCCAGACTACCCCCCCACTTGTTTGCGGTTGGGGACCATCATGCCATTGTGCCCACCCATCCCACCACTCCCCACCCCTGCAACATTAGCAGCAGCAGCTGGTGTTGCCGGAGCAAAGCCAATGCCGCCACCGGCCCCCGTGCGAGCACCCATGCCTTATCCATTCTGCAACCCCATGCCCGTGCCTAGGGGTCCCGGCAACCTGCCATGGAAGGGCCCACCCAGCACACCCCGACCATCCATTGCAACCCAGCATGAGGAGGTGAAGCATGAGATCAAGCAGGAGGAGGACATCAAGCAGGAAGTCAAGCAGGAGGACACCATCATGAGGAGGACATCAAGCAGGAAGTCAAGCAGGAGGACACCATCATGCAGCCAGAAAGACATGGCTGCCCTGCCGAAGACATGCAGCCACCGCCATCCCCAGCTGCATCCGACACATCCATGCCCCCCCCAAGCAACACACAGCCCCCACCAGCCAAACCATCAACACCAGCACCTCCCGAGCCAGCATGTCCACCCGCCAAAGCTCCCAAACCCACATCCACACCACCGCCCGCCAAACTTCCCAAACCCACATCCACACCACCGCCCGCCAAAGTTCCCAAACCCCCATCCACACCACCGCCCGCCAAAGTTCCCAAACCCCCATCCACACCACCACCCAATGTTGCCAAAGTGCCCATGCCCCGACCCTTTCCACCGCCCAGAGCCAAACAATCATCCGGACCATGCCCCGCACAGCGGGCCACTGGCTGGAAATTCAAATTGGTCTGGGCAGCGAAAGCATGGAATGCACAGGATTGGCATGGACTGCAAGACATCGTCAACACCATGCGAGAAGACTTGGTGAACAACCAAGATGCTGCTGGTGCATGGAAGGACAAAGCAAGGAGCTTCATCGAGGCATTCAACCAGCATGACTGGCACCAGTGCAAGCACCTCATGGATTGGTGCCTCAGAATGCACATGAGTGCAATGTTATGTATATATATATGTATATACACACATACATGTATACGTGTTTCTGATATAAATGCATGTTTGCCCCACATATACTTAATAGCTTGTACATACATGCATACATACATACATATACGTGTATACATCCATATGAATGCATGCATGCCTACATGCATGCATACATACATACAATGCAGACTGAAACTCTCTCTATATATATATATATAGCTATATATATGTATATGTGTGTGTTATATGTATATATACATATATATATATATATATGTATATATATATATATATATATATATATATAGTCCTTCTATATATACATATGCATGATGTGATATGTACCTTTGGGATATAGATACACAGATATATATATATATATATATATGTATGTACACATGTAAATACATATATGCATATATATATATATGCATATATGTAATATAAGTATAAAAAACTGTATGTATACACAGGTATGACGAGTGTCTTTAGGTCCGTGTCATATACATATGTATATAAATATGTGTGTATCTCTATAGAGGTATGATGTGTTTCTATGGTTGTGAACAAATATATGTATATATGTGTGTGTGTGCGTGCGCTTCCGCAAGCAACATGCATACCCAAATCCGTCCTGAAGTAGAAGGCTGCTGTTGAATTAAGACACACAACAATACCCTGTAGATGCATATAGACCACTTCATGTTTATACATGTTTTTTTGTATATATATATATATATATATAGTCTATATGCCTTCCAACATATGTATAGTCCCTTTTTGTATTTGTTGGCATGCAAATTACTAGCTACATACAAAGCCACATTTTCAGCATGTCTTCATGTACCAATCTAATGCTTGGACGGCAAACATTATACCGAATAAACCAAAGCTGGCGACCATGCAGTTTTAGTGGTTCTTTGAAGCATTGTTCTCAGTTCTTCGAAGCCAGATATACATGTATGTTCTGCAACCCAGGTACCAGAAGGAGCCCATCTTCAAGCAGATGGTGGAGCATGATGACCATTCAGCGGCCATGCCACCAGATCTCGCTTTCGGCGACTGCAGTGAGGAAGCATGCACGTGGCATCACGGTTTTTGCGAGCAAAAAAAAACAGCACCGGTTTGGAAGCCATCCAGTCATTAGCTCTGCTTTTGGAATGTGGGATTGAGCAGGAACACCAGCAGCCATGCATGGGCCCACCCAGGCATTTCCAGTATACCAGGATACATGTTCTTCCGCACTACATCTTGCCATCTGGCCATTATAAGCAATCCCAACACATGATGCCATTTGGCAATGAAACAGCATTCCCAACTTAGGCTTTCACAGTGTATGTCTGTAAACACACATATATATATATATAGAGTTTATGTTGTGCCTCAACCTTTCCCAGACACAGTATATAGCCAGGTGCATGAATCCTCAAGGCCCCCCAAAACTAGATGGTATAGATCATTGAAGTAGATATGATACACTATATATTTATACATGTGTTGTGTATATACATAGCACCGTATGCATTCGTTTGTAGCAACCTTGTTATAAACCTGAAACCTTATGAGCCTTTGTATAGACATATATATATATATATATATATGCATATGTACACACAGACACACATGTATATATCTAGAGGACACCCACAAGCCGTGTATATAGAATATAAATGTATATACATATATATATATATATATATATATATATATATATATATATATGAAAATGCAGCATAGTCTTTATGTTTTACATATGTATATAGATTATACATACATATATACACAAACATGTTTAGTAGTGTCGATGTGGGTTTTAAGGGTAGTTTTAAGGGTAGAAGACCATATATATATATATATATATATACATACATACATAAATTTTATATATATATATATATATATATATATATATATATATATATTATCGATAGAGATCACAGAAACATGATAATATAGAACAACTATATATCAGGAGACACATGTATATACATACATATATATATATATATACTTATGTAAATACTGCTGTTTCTGACAGTTGTTTTTCATGTGCTATCTGCAGCGATGGGAGGGGCTTGCATGCAAGAACATTCATGGTTTGCAGCCATCTTGGCCGTCCATGCCCACGTGGCCATTGTCCATAGGTAGGTTCGCTCGAAAGCCATGTCTCAGCACTGGACCATCGATGATTTCATTGCCGAGTTGGGGCATTTGGACTCACTGGCCCAGAACAGCCCCAACAGCACTGTGGTCCAGTCCATGACGAATGCATTCATAGCTCGCATCCAAGCGGCATCCAATTGGACATCGGCCGGTATCGTGGCCATGCTGGAGAAAGCCAATAGCATGCAGGCCGATGTGAAGCCCAGCCTCGTGACTGCCATAGAGTCATTGAACACCATGACAGGCTCGCATCTTCGCTTCACATCCTCGGGGCAGAAGGTATTGGACTTCAGCCCATACCTGACTAGCATGGATTGGGAATGTATGTCGGGCGGCATCGTGGCAGACAGCATGTCCATGCTGGCAAAGCGAATGCGGTCCATGGGTACATCAGCCAAGGAGTGCTTGGTCCGGCATGCCATAGCCCTGCTGCTTTGGCAGCAGCATACATTGGGCAAACCATGCCATCACCGTCAGCCATCCATGACATGGTTGAGGACTTCAAGACCATACTCCATGCCGCCCCCATGCCTGCCACCCATGGCGCCGGGGTGTTGGTGTACCCCAACACACCTGCAGAGATGGGCCAAGACTGGCTGTTGCAAGCACATGGCCATCATCATGGGCTGGCGGGCCGGACCATCCAGTTGGCACATTGGTCCAAGGCCATTCCCATGCGGTCCACATCCTCATTGCTGAAGCCCATGCCGAATCCTGCCCAGGCACGGCCATCAGACAGTGCTGGGGATGGGCATGCCCTTGCTGGTGTTGCTGGGGCATTGTGCCAGTTCCTCAACAACGGGGCCCCATCAGCTAAGGCGCCCGCAGCTGCATCGCAGCTAGCATTGCAAGATGGACATGCAGGCCATGTGCAATTCATTGCTCCGGGCCAAAGCCATGCTGCACCCTCCACACTGGCATTGCCGTCCTCAGAGCCATCGCACAGACCCGTTGCCACACCGGCACGAGCTCCATCTGTGCATGCAGCCGCAGAGGAAGCTCCGGAAGCCAATGGGTGTCCCATGGATGGCAAGGATGAGGACAGCCATGAGACTGACAAGAACCATGCGAAGACATTGGAAGACTGGGAAAAGGACACATTCGAGAAGTTGTCCCAGAAGAGGAAGGCAGAGCATAAGCCATCTGCCAAGGGCAAAGCAAAGGCCATGCCCAAGGCAAAGGCCAAGGCAAAGGCCAAGGCAAAAAGCTTGGCCATGAAGGCACATGGACATGAGAAGGCAGCATCGGCAGAGACCGCATCGACCAAGGCCAAAGCCAAGGCCAAAGCCAAGGCTAAAGCCAAGGCGAAGGCCCATGCGAAGCCGCATGCTCAGGCACATGACCTGAAGCCGGGGGTGCCTCCCTTCGGGTGCCCCCGATGCCGAGGAAATGTCCTCGGCTGCCCGACATGCACATCTCCGACATACAACGGGATACGTCTCCCTGGAAGGGAGGCATGGAAGGCACACATGAGGGCCATGGGTAAGGAGATCAAATGAAGCATTCAGCTCATCACATGAGCCATGCATGCCATCGCATGCATGAAATGGCCCGGCATCGAGTATGCCTGGACAGCCATTTTTGCAGGCATCATTGTGGCTTGTCCCATAATGAAAGGATGTCCATGTATAGTCCCCATGCCAGAATGTGGCATGTCCCACAAGCCATGCTGCCAGAACATGGCAGCATCACACTTTGGCCATGCAAGGATCAGTTGGGACCGCAACAGAGCAAAGGAATTGAACATGTTGTTTGGACTGCATAAGGTTTCGCATGAGTGCCATGCTGTGGCCATGCCAAAGTCATGACTATGTTATTCTGCATGCAATGTCATTCCATGAGCTATATATATGGGCGCTTTATTGGTATGGAGCCTTTTTCCAACCCATGGGTTGGAAAAATGGTCCATAGCAATATAGCGGCAAAGCATGCCCAAGATTTAGACCCAGCTTTCAAAGAAGGGTACATTTCAGCAAACATGGGTATTGGACTTCCGGGTTTCGGGTTGAAGTCAGACTTTCGTGTGTGTGCGGGTTCGGGTATAAATGGTTTTGGGGTGTGGTGTTTTAGGGTTTGGTGTTTTATGCCTTAAAGGATTTCCCGGTTAAGGGTTTCATGGGTTTAGATTAATATATATTTTTTCTATATATACATGGTTAAGCCTGTCCGGGTTTAAGGCTTTCGGCTTATATGGTGCTCTATATTATTACATGGGTTAGTGGCCTTTAAAGTTGTCGGGTTTAGGCTTCGTATATGTGTGTATATATATATATATATATATTTATTTATTTATTTATTTATCTTATTATGTACATACATAACATGTCTATATGCATTCACATAGACAAACACATGTATGTCGATCTCATCGTTATATATGCAGGGCGAAAGCCATGCCCTTGTTGAAACAGCCCATGTGGCCATGTACCCGTGAGCAGTCCAAAGATCAAACAGGAGAATCAGGACCATCAGCACAGGTATAACCCATCATGTCAACATATATATATATAATATACACCATGTACATGTTATTTGTGTGCAGGCTTATATGTAGAAAGCAGAAGGTTAGATAGAGAGGTATATAGATATAGATATAGACGCGAGAGAGTGACACAAGCGAGGCCATCCATCATGATTGTATACAAGTCCCAAGGTGATTTCAATACATATATATATATAGATATATACGGATATATATAATCTATATATGTATATATAAAAACATGTTGTTAACTATGGGTTCATATATAAGGTTTATGGATTTAAGGTGCCCCTTCTTTTGGCGACCATGTGCTGTAATCAATCTTATGTGCCTATATACAGCACCATGTTTTGATTTTGTCCATGCTGTTTGCTTGAAGCCATGGACCGGGCAAACAAGAGAGCCAGAGCCAAGAAATTGGAGGTCATGATGGCATTCCAGAGCAACCTTCCGGCCCATAGCCAATCTGCACTCGCCGCCATTGTCCAACGGTGCAAGACACATGAGATTCCGGAATGCTCATCATCGAAAGAGCAACGAAATGCAAGACTTCATTTGTTGCAGCAGTCCCATGGTGGCGGCTTGGGGCCATTGCTTCGGGAGGGTTCATTGGCCATGATGGATGGGAGCAGCCGGACGATCTGGTTTACATCCATGTTGGTGTTGTTGTGCAACATGTACCGTGAGTGTCCATCATTTACGGCATTGCTCCAAAGGAGACATGCCCAAAAACCAAGCACAGCAGAGAGGCCATGGTCCCTTCAACTTTACACAGATGAAGTGGTGCCTGGGAACGTCTTAGGACGTGCTGATCGCAAGTTCTGGACCATATATGGGACCATCATGGAATTTGACAACCATGCTCAGCGAGAGAACCATGGATTCCATGAACAGCTTTGGTTCACATTGTGCACAGTCCGGTCGAGCATCATCATGCAAGCAGATGGAGGCATCGCCCAGGTCATGGCAATGATTCTTGAATCCATCTTTTGCAATGTCATGATCCACCTTCCTCATGGAGGGTTGCTCCTCAAGCATCCCATGGGCCCACAAGAAGACATTCGGTTGCACATGACATGGAACTCCATGATATGCGATGGGGCTGCTCATAAGGCTGTGTGGAGCTCGAAAGGCGATGCTGGTACAAAATTTTGCATGTTGTGTGCTAATGCCATAGGGCATCGGCCAACATTGGAACAACAGCAGGCCATGCCAGAGCCATTGCCAGATGACGAGCTTTTCATAGATACCTCATGCACCACATACCGTCAACTCCGGTTGGTGTCTGACCATGAAGTCTTGGCATCTTATGCAAGGCTGGCCGCAAAACATGGCACATGCACCAAGAAGGAGTTCACGAAATGGGAGCAGGCATGTGGCATCACATTCAGCAAGAAAGCATTGTTGACGAACGAAGCATTGCTGGAGCGATCTTTGCTTCGACCATGCACGACATTTTGTCATGACTACATGCATGGTGTGTTTCAAGGAACGGCGGTGGTGGTCCTGCATCATTTCTTGCAAGATGTGAGTGAGCATCTTGATGTGTGGCAATTTTTGCATGGTTACATTGAGCATTTCATTTTCCCAGGTGCATGGAAGATGACCCATTTGAAGGTCTTGTTCGACGAGAAGCGAGCCATCAAGGGCAAAAATGCCCAGAAGTTTTCCTGCATGGCCTCGGAGTGTGCGGCCATATACGGACCCATCAGGCAGTTTGTCCATTCGGTTCTGGAGCCTCGAAACATATGTCCGGAAGCATGCAGAGCATTTCTTGCCATGGCCTCCTTCGTTGACCAAGTCCATGAAGGGGTCCAACATCAGGCCACGACACGTGCATCCCTTCTTGATGCGGCCGAGCAGGCCATCAGCACCTTCAAGACATGGGGCCCATGCGGCCTCATCCGGAAGTGGCACTGGACATTGCATTTGCCTGACACATTACATCGCTATGGTTATCTTCCTTCATGCTTTGCAGCAGAACGGAAACATAAAACCATAAGCACACATGCGACGAAACTGCAGAAGACGATGCAGTTCGAGCTCCATCTCATGCAAGCCATCGTGCCCGACGAGCTGCAGGCATTGAAGGAGCCGAACCTCTTCCCCGCAGCCATCCATTTCATGAAGGCCAAGAAGGCAAAGCCCATGGAACTCAAAACCATGGCTGACTTCCTCAGCCAGAAACCAACAGAGGCCCATGTGGCAAGTGCTGCGAGGTTGCCCCATGGCGCCCAGATCCATAGTCAGGACGTGGTCGTGTATAGCATGGACAGGCAGACATGGGAAGTGGGCCAAGTGCTTTTCCATGCAGACGTTTTCAACACCCAGGTTTCACTCGTCCATGCTTGGGACATGCTTGAATCCCATCCGAAGCACAGGGTGGCCGTCTACCATCCCTCAGGCCGACACGGCTTCATTCCGGTGCAGGCCATAATGTTCGCAGTGGTTTTCACGAAGCCAGAGCATGGACCAGCCAAAGTGCTCATGCCATACTCCATGTACTCCCGTGCCCAATTCGCCGAAAAATGCATGCAGTGCTTTGCTTTGCAGCTGCACATGCTTCATGGTCTACATCGGCCTGCTGGCCATTAACTGTATATACTTTTCCGAGTCCGCATGCAGTCTTACAGGTTTCTTATCCAAGCCATTTGTCTGTTGACTTTGACATGTCTTTTGTTTTTTGTGTCAGCCCCATTTTGCAAGTACCTTTTATATTGAGCTCCATTATCTCCTGGCCATATTTTTCTTTGCAACGACTGCCACAACTTCCTTATCAGTCTCTTAATTTCACGAACAAGTTAACTAGTTATAACGAGTTAGATAAAACAGGCTAACTAGTTAGTAACTTTTACCTATCTCTACATAACCAACTTAACCACTTATAAGAAACCGGGCATTCCAAGTAGGAGGAGATAGTGGGTCTACCGGGAGAGAGGAAAATCTGCCAATACTGGAGCGAGAGGAAACTCCGCGCTTGGCTAGTTTATCCGCTAATTCATTACCAGGTATGCCAGTATGTGAGGATATTTGAGCAAAGTGGCATGGAACTTACAGCGTATTGCGGCGTAATAGTTGTGAGCGACGGTGACAAGTTGGTGGTGTGTAACCGGGAGAGCATCGCCCTGTAGGATGGACAAGACATATTGCGAGTCAATATATATGGTAAGTTGATCCACATTAGAGGAAGGAGAGTAGTACAACAAATAATCAAAGAGTTCGATAATGGGGCGGAGTTCGCCAGTGTTGTTCGTGGATGTACAATATCTGTAGGATTTGTTTTTACTTGCCCCCACTCTTGTTCCCAGGTAGAGTCTGTCTCCGGATGAGTAGCGGATGAGTAACGGAGCCATCGGTAACGGTGAGGGCAAAGTCCCATCCTGCTGGATTGTCAAAGGAGCCGAGGAGGGATGTCTTTATGCGATTATAGAAGGAGCTGAGTTGCGTATAGTGAAACTTGTCACGCCGAGAAAAAGGAAGTTTTTATAGATACTGGGTTTGCACAGTGAACACGATAGGGAAATGTCGGGATTTCAAAAAATGCTTCCACAAAACAGAAGGGTTTGGCGGAGGGCCGGAGGTATTGTAACGTAAGCAAGGGTAGTCCACTGTTGAGCGTCTTCATGAATTACAGAGTGATCGACGCAAGTCATTTCCTTATATGTGACCATTTTACGGAAGGGGAGATCAAGAATAACTGAAGGAGAAAGCAGCTATGAGCTTCAAGAAACTCCATGAAATATATGGCATTGTCACGCTCCGGGGAATAGCTTGACGTCTCCCTATGATTTCTGGACTTACTCGGGTGTAGGTAGGATCAATGTTGACGTCTAGGTCGGAGATAAGATAACCTGCTAAGACTTCGGGGACTTAGGGTGGTTGGAGCGTACTAGGCGCTTATTTTTTTGAACGGTAATAGGGTGAGGGAACGTGGAAATGGTATTTTCGTTCATGCGCGAGGAAGAGGATTTAAAATCTTTGATATATAATATAGTCTAAGAGAGGAGAAATAAAGTTTCGATTGTCGTGGTATTTAGAAGATGGTATATCTGATGCAAGGATTTCCGAATTTTTTTTGATAAAAATATGTGAGGATATACGAGGACTATAATTTTGATTCTTGAGCGTAAAGTAGAGATATCGAAATGAATGGAATAAAAAATTTATGATATTATGAAATTTGGTGATTGTTAGTATTCTTTTTATATTCGAGGATATCTGTATTCTTATAGATTTTGAATTTCTATGATATAGTGGTGCGATTTGATTTCATTGAATTCCGACGAACGATTATAGATCGTACTACGTCTAATATATATATATATATATGGTTGCGTAAGTAATAGAGGATTGCTGTTATTTCACTATAAGAATATATTTATTTCTTCTTTTCGTATTGTAGTAGCTTCTCTGGAGCGTTAGACGATTATTTGGAGATTGTAGGGGAGTTGTCACA